TTCCCTTTCCATATTCCATGCACTCACAGTTATATTATGATAATTTAATATCAATTCATTTAATATTTTAAACAAACTTATACTTTAAGCTTTTCTGTTAATATTTTCATTTTGAAATGTTTTAAAATGACTTTTTCAACTTTGAAATATATAATTTGACATTTAACCTCGTTTCTTTTATATAAACTTCTTCCTATCATAGACAATCACAAAGTAATTATTATATTAACTTATTATGAGGTATTTAATTATAATTTAACTTACATATCTAACTAAAATATTTTTATAGTTACAATAAACTTGAAACTAATATAGTTTAAAATATCTAATCATTCATTTTTGTTTTAAAGACAGCTAATATATGACAAATTAATTCTATGAGTGCTCAAGATGATGGGAATAAATATATTAATTAGGGTTTAAACCTCTACTTATATACATAAATAGATGGACCAGATTTGGAAGTTCTTTACATTATAGTACTATAATTAAAGTATTACTTAGGTAATATATATATATATATATATATATATATACAAACTTTACACTATCCTCCTTTCCAGAAAATGAAAAGATGATAATAATAAGTTAAATGAAATATTTGAAGGTTTTGTTACATGATTATAAACTACTATAACTTAAAACTCTTATGGAATCACTAATATTATTATTGATAACTATGAGTGAAACAAAATTCAAAGTTATAGCACAAGTATTAGTCGACTAAGACTACTAATGTACTAGTTGCAACTCTATATGGTCCAAAACTTTCAAATCTGGTCCATCTATTCATGTATATAAGTAGGGGTTTTAACCCCAATTAATATATTTATTCCCATATCTTAAGTACTCATAGAACTAATTTATCACATTTTAAAATTGGCTGCCAAAACAAAAATTAATTATTAGATGTTTTAAACTATATTAATTTCAATTTTATTAGTAATTATAGTGTTTAGGGTGCCACTACTAACCTTGAAGCCTAACACTAAATTAAAGGAAAGGACTTTAATAAGTCATTGCAATCTACAAAATGCTATTATAGCAAATAATACATCCCACTTTTAACAACTCTATTAACTTAAACTCATAATCATTTACTTTCCTTGGGTTAGCATTTAAGACTTGTATTAACTCAGATTTATCACTTTCATCTTCATCTAACACCACATATAGGGTGTTAGACTCACTCCATTTATTTTTTACATCCTTTTTATACATTTTTCAAAGGAAAAAGAAGTTTTGAAACATTTGATTTGTTATGCTAATTTTTATTTTACTATTTATATTCAACCTCACTCCATTATTACATTTATTTAGTTGGGTTCATACTCATTCCACTACCATATCCACTCATTCTCACTCTAGTATTAAGACTAGACTCCCATCCATCCTTTATACCCCCTCCTCCCAACAAAAAAGTGTTTAAAGCATTAACACAAAAAAGGAGAAAATGAGAAAAGTTGAGGAAGAAATATTATGGAAGAAGAAAAAATGGATAAATAAGCATTACCAACTATTAAAGTGGAAATAAATAAGGAAATGTGGTTAAAGCTCAAAGAATAGAAGAACTTTTATAATAAAACACTTTAACCACCATAAGATAAATATAAATATATGCTCAAGATATAGAAATAATTATATTGATTGGGATTTATACCCTTATTTATGTACGGAGCAGATTTAATCCCGAATAAACAATTCATATGCTATATTATTAATATGTACAATTCATGTTTTAAAAACATTTTTAAAATTTCAACTTTGAGGCAATGGGTGGCACTGCTTTCTGCGATTCGTCAAGGTATTTCACTGTGATCAATCTATGACGTGTCCATGACCTTTAAAAAGAGCGCGTGCCAGGCAACAACACACTAATCTCATTAGGTCATCTTCACTAGCATACCACCACCACCGACATGGAGCTGGTCCGGATGATCCACGATCAGACGAGCTTCACGCTCGATCTCTACAAGCAGGTATGGCAGCAGCAGCAGCAGGAATCCAAGCCACAGGGCAGCAGCACCGATCGAGAGGAGCAGCACAACGAGAAGAATGTGGTGCTGTCTCCGCTTAGCATTGCCATGGCCATGGCGATGGCGGCCGCGGGAGCAAAGGGCCAGACGCTGGAGCAGCTCACCTCCGTGGTCAGGCTGCCAAACGGGTCTCTCATGCACGATTTCGCGCAGCAGCTCAATTCGGTGCTGCTGGGCGTGGCGCGATCGGATCCCCGCGCGCCGGAGCTCAGCCTCGCCAATGGAGTCTGGGTGGAGCAGAGCTTGAAGCTCCGCGGCGAGTACAAGGAGATCATCGAGAAGAACTATGGAGCTTCTGCCAGGCCCGTGGATTTCAAGAACAAGGTAAAGTTTGCTCTTCACTTTCTCTCTTCTTTGATTGGAGCGACTGTTTTGCTTTTTCTCAAGTGCTCATGGTTTTCTCTCTTCACTGCTTGATGGTCGATAGATTGTATTTTTCTTTGGGCGATCGTGATTTTTCTTCTTTGATCGATGTGATCGATGTGATTCATGAATCGTCTTTCCTTCGAGCTTGGGCGATCATGAATTGCTTTGTTTCTTTGAGTTCTTGGATAGTTCTCACATAGCGAACTGAGATGCCAGGCACAAGAATCCCGCGGTCTCGTCAACTCGTGGGTGGCGGAGGCAACCAAGAAGAAGATCGAGGAGCTCCTCCCCGAGGGCTCGGTGGATCCCCAAACCCGCCTCATCCTCGCCAGCGCGATCTACTTCAAGGGCGCCTGGCAGAAGCAGCTGGATCCATCGCAAACCCGCGACGGGATCTTCCACCTCCCCAGCGGCAAGACCAAGCAAGTCCCCATGATGCGCAGCAGCAAGAAGCACTTTATCAAGAACCACGGCTCCTTCAAGGTCCTCCGCCTCCCCTACCAGCGCGGCGACGACCCACGCAGCTTTTCCATGTACGTTCTCCTCCCGGCCGAGCTCCAGGGCCTGCCGGCGCTCGTCAGCAGCCTCCACGACGCCGAATCCATGGGAAACGCGCTCGCGGGCATCCACGAGGTGGAAGTGGGCGATTTCCAGCTCCCGAAGTTCAAGATCTCGCTGGTGGTCCAGGCGCCGGCGCTGCTCAAGCGGATGGGCTTGGACCTCGCATTCTCGCCGCCGCACGCCGACTTCTCGGGCATGGTGGAAGGCTCTCCGGGGGACGATCTCTTCATCTCGGACGTTTTCCACAAGGCGTTTGTGGAGGTGAACGAGGAGGGGACCGAGGCCGCCGCCGCCAGCGCCGCGGTGGTGACACTCCGGGCTTTGAATGTGCAGATGGAGCCCGAAGACTTCGTGGCGGATCATCCGTTTATGTTTTTGGTGAGAGAGGATGCCACTGGGGTGGTGCTCTTCGTCGGACACGTAAACGATCCAAGTGTTTGAGTACAGCTACGCTAGTACTAGATCTATAGTATTTTTTTGTTTGACTTTCTAAAACAAAAGTTAGCGCATGGTTTTCTGTCCAGGCCAGAGGATCTGATTAACAAGGTTGCGCTTGACGTGCCACCTTGCGGTTCACGGTGAATCAAATGATTTTCAAATGGAAATACCAGAGGAACACTACTGCTAATTTCTTGCAAAGATCACGTTGAGAAACCTGAGAAGATTGTCACGGACAACAAGCTAAGCGGAGAAACACCTGGTAAGATTGGGAGCTTGGCCATTCCCTCGCAACGTTTCTCGGCTTGTCCACCTACGTCCAAGACAACAATCTGAGCGGTGAAATCCCTGTGGAGCTTGCCAGGCTTCCAAGCTTGTTCAAAACGTGTGTGGCTCTTCCAAAACAGCTTCGATGGCGAGATCCCGAAAAGAGTTTGGCCTCCACTCCGAGCTCGAGGAGTCCGACGGAGCGCTCAATCGCCTCGACGACGGACCGCTGCCGCCAAACATCTACCATAGAGACACTCTCAAGTTACCTGAGGGCGATCCAAGCTCCTTGTGTACGTCAAGCCTGCGTGATTTCGAGATCTCTGGTAACCGGTTCCAAAGCAGCGTTCCAGCGATGGTCTTTCTGACTCTCTCTAGCAACCGGCTCAGTGGCGAGCTCCTTGCAGGACTTGGAAGCTTGCCAATTCTCGGGCTCCATTCGGCCCAGCTACTTTTACCATAGTGGTCATGCTCGATCTCTCGAGGAAAAACTTAAGTGGCAATGTCGATCACCAGCAACAGCCATCTTGTGTTCCTAGATCTGAGCCATATAAATAATACTGCCTAGGAGCAAAGAACTGTTAACCATGCACAATTACAAGCTCGGCTGAGTGGAAAACAATCTATAATGTGTTCATAAAGAGCACATAAACAGTGCATAATAATCCTACACAATGTGATAAATTATAAACTTCCAATTGCTCAAAATGATAAGAGTTGAGTCGCAAATTATTTTTACTTTCAAATCAAGTTGGTGAGAATCCGAGGTAGGTGCAATAGATAGGTCCATGCTCCCACAAGTCGCATACATTAAGATCAAGCAGATAAAATGGTAGTTCACAAGGCTAGCTCATCCTTTCCGACAAGGGAGTGTTTAAGATGGTGATTTGCGTCGGCTGGAATCCAATAATGCAGAGAAAACAGTGGTTGCTGCTCAAAACATCTGGAGACAATGGTTTCTGTCCAGGCCAATTTCTCGCCGCTAGAGGATCTGATTAACAAGACTCACGAAGATGGTCGTATTGCCAAAGCGGCGCTTGACCTGCCACCTTACTCGGCTATCCAGGAAAACAAATCCTTGCATGAAGTGGTTGACGATGAATTTCAATGGCAATAACAGTTCCTTTGACGGGGCCAAAGGAACACTTTTCATATTTACTTCACTTCTTCTTCTTCGCCAAGGTCCACTCTCTTCTTTAAAGCTGTAGCAGAACGAAGCTTTCCAAGGATCTCCTCCAACTCGTTTCAACGAATCGCTGATAGAAGAAAAATTCTATTTTGTTCATCGTTGTCTTAGAATTTAACTTCTTGCGAGCCAGGGGCGTCTCAAAGATGAACGCGGCAATATGGTTTTCGCTGCTCCTCTTTTTCTTGGCGACACTGCTTCCATCGCCAGTCTCTGCGCTCTTACAGGACGAGGTTGCGGTTCTTTTGCAGTTTCGATCCAATCTGGAGAGCAACACGACCTGGATCTTAAGCGACTGGAGCACCAGCCGAGATCCAAATCCATGCGTCTGGATTGGAGTGGCGTGCGACAGCTCCAGTTCCTCGGTTCAAGGACTGAATCTCTCCGGTATGAGCTTGCGCGGACAGCTTTATCCCAAGCTTTGCATGCTTCCAAACTTGGAGAGCATCGACCTGTCGAACAATAGCTTCAGTGGAGGCTTTCCAAGAGAGTTTCTGGGATCGTGCAACAAGCTCAGGTACCTCAACTTGAGCTCCAATCTTTTCTCGGGGCAGCTCCCAGCCGCTGGCTTTGGAAATCTTAGTCGGTTGTCGAAGCTTGACCTCTCAAACAATGAGCTCCAAGGGGGAATCCCGCAGGACGTGATGACCCTGCCGAGTTTACAGGAACTGGACCTCTCCGGCAACAACCTGACCGGCACAATTCCCGTGAACATCACGTCGAAAAACCTGAGAAGATTGTCACTGGCGAACAACAAGCTGCGTGGAGAAATACCTGGTGAGATTTGGAGCTTTGCCATGCTGCGTGAGCTCCTCCTCTGGAAAAACTCCCTCACTGGACCCATTCCTCGCAACGTTTCTCGGCTCGTTCATCTGGAAGGAATCTACGTCCAAGCCAACAATCTGAGCGGCGAAATCCCTGTGGAGCTGGCCAGGCTTCCAAGCTTGAAACGTGTGTGGCTCTTCCAAAACAGCTTTGTTGGCGAGATCCCGCAAGAGTTTGGCCTCCACTCTGAGCTCGAGGAGTTCGACGTAGCGCTCAATCGCCTCACCGGACCGCTGCCGCCAAACGTCTGCCGTAGAGACACTCTCAAGTTCTTCAGCGTCAATGTAAACCAGATATCCGGCAGCATTCCTCCCTCCTTCTCCAACTGTACGCGACTGGAGATCTTCTACGCCTCTAGTAACCAGCTCGAGGGGCAACTTCCAAGCTCCTTGTTTACGTCAAGCCTCCGCGATTTCGACATCTCTGGTAACCGGTTCCAAGGCAGCCTTCCAGCGAGCATCAACAGCGCCACCTCCCTCGTCTTTCTGACTCTCTCTGGAAACTGGCTCAGCGGCGAGCTCCCTGCCGGAGTTGGAAGCTTGCCAAGCTTGTTGGCCATCTCGGCTGGTAGTAACAACTTCTCGGGCTCCATTCCACCAAGCTACTTCATCACAGTGGTTATGCTTGATCTCTCCAAGAACAACTTAAGTGGCAATGTCGATCTTGGCATGATCACCACCAGCACCAGCCATCTCGTGTTCCTGGATCTGAGCCGGAACCATCTCACGGGGACTTTGCCGGCTCCACTGTGTGGCTTTCTCAACATGCACGTACTCAGCCTCGCCTGGAACCATCTCCAAGGCTCCATTCCACAGTGCTTCGGAAATTTGTCCTCGCTGCAAATCCTCGACCTCTCGCACAACAACTTGCAAGGATCGCTTCCCGAAAGGCTGGAGGGTCTGCGCGGCCTACAAGACGTCTCGAGCCAGGGAAACAGGCTCACTGTGATCTTCTTTCCCAGAATCCTGGACTGGAAGGAAATCTTCACCCAGTGGATCCAACACTTCGGCAACAGCGTGTATTTTGACTGGAGGCAGGCCTTCGAGAGCAGCCGAGAGTTTTTCCAGCAGATGGAGGGCTATTCCATTCTCCTCAATTGGAAAGGAACGTTCCGGATTGTTGGTGACATCTACTCCTCCACCACCTCCATAGATGTCTCCTCCAACAATCTCACTGGCACCATTCCCTCGGAGCTTGGAAAGCTCGCCGGCCTCAGGAACTTGAACCTATCCTTCAATAGATTCAGCGGTAGCATCCCTGGCGAGCTTGGTCAGCTCCAAAACCTGGAATCTCTGGACCTCTCGAGCAACCGCCTCCAAGGAGAGATTCCCTGGTCGCTCACCCAGCTAGGATTCCTGGGGGGCTTCAATGCCAGCGGGAACCATCTGCAAGGACGCATTCCAGGCGGGAATGGATTTAACACCAGATTTGACCCTTCCAGTTTCGGATCAAACAACAACCTTTGTGGATACCCCTTGATCAATCGTTGCCGGCAGGAGGATGGCGGTGGCGCAATGCCGGCGCCTCGAGAAGATGAGAAATTCTCGCGCCGCGTATTCGCCATTGCTACTGTTGCCAGCTTCATACCCGCATTCTACCTGGCTTTATAAGCCCTAAAAGATGACCTCTAAGCCTTCCTTCTTGGAATCAAACTTGTTCCTTTGGAGCAGCTTTATAGATGTAAATTTAATGAGAATTACAATGATTTCCAACAAACTCCACTACGTCTTTCTTGTAGAGTCACCAGCTTTACCCATGTTGTCAGCAAATTCTCCAATGGCATGGCCAATGCAAGCAAGACTGATGCCAATACAGAGGCCACATATTCCAAGCCCAAGTCCAATCCCAGTACCCAGCGAATAGAGACCATCCCTTATCGCAACCCCATTTGAACTGTAACCTAAACATGAGATATAGATATAAACAAGAATATATTATGAAGTGTTTAATTTATAAACATGCATATAAATTATAAATATGAAATTAATTAAAATGTATAATACCCATTAGGTGATAGAATATTTTAGAATATTTAAGCATATTTAACTATATTCACTACTGCTAAAAAAAGAAGTGTATGACTATAATATATAAGAATGTAAGAGTAAAAAAAAACCATACATATTTCTATACAAAATCATTCACAAATTTGAATTTAACATAAAAAACCATGCAAAATCCAAAAACAAAGCATCAATTTGGTACTATGAGAGTCTTTTTTCACAGGTAAACCACTGGCAACTGTTGCCATTAAACCTGAGACCAAGAGTCCTTTGAGCTGGCCTATATTCATTCCGCCCAAATACCTGAGGTCTACCAACAATCTTAAATTATAACAAAAGATTACCACATATTTCAAAGCTTCTGCTGAACATAGAAAAGATCGATGGTAAGATTTGTCAATAAATTTTCAGGCAATGGAAAACACGTAGTGAAGTTTGTAATTGGAATCCCAACCCTATCACACAAAGGATCATTGGCACACCGAACCCCGGCCACCATGGGCCAGGTAGTTGGCCCGCCAGCTCTTTCAAAGTATGGTAATTATCAAGCAAACCACTCCTCCAAAACATATCACCTTGATGTATCAAATAGATCATAAGAAACTAACACATATTATGATAAGAAACTGAGTATAAAATTGCATTGGCTTATCAAAGATTAGCTATATAAATTATTGACCATAATCCTTCGTGACCAACCAGCTGGTGTTTTAACCTCCACTACAGCCGCTCTCCTAGGTCCTGGCCGTAAATATTCTAGAATGTTTTGAGCCCTCTCTAGTAAATGCTCAATGTTGGAAACAAGCGATTCTGGAAGGCAAAGGATGCATCTTTGATATATTAAACATTGAAGAGGAGAAACTAAGAGTCGACCAGTACGTGATCATTTCTATTGCCATGCAAAAGATCCCGTAGCATATTCCCTGTTACGTAAAAACCTTACAGTTACAAGAGCGCGGCTTAACGGCAGGGGCCAATGCCGGCTCCAAAGCTACCGCCTCTCAATCGCAAGGCTGGTCGCCCGCCAATCCCTTTCGATCCAGCACCTGCGAGACGAAGAACCTCGAGGAAGCAAGACGCCCTCAACCGGCGGTACCAGCAGAGCTACCATGGCCTAGTTACCAACATCACCAAGTGCCTGGATCGAGCGGTCCCCAGTCACTCCCAGAGCCCACAGCTCAAGGACGTGCCACCACCGTGCCACCACCGGAGGATGTGCTCGCTCACCAGGATAGTTTTCGCCAAGCCGGTGCCTCCGGTGCCCAAGGAGGACGTGAATCCTTTCTACGCGGTCCCCCACACCGATATCACGGCCCCCTTGAAGATCCATCCGCCGTCTCACGCCATGAAGTCGGATCCGCCGCCTTGGTTCGGACACGCCAAGACTTCCGTCACGGATCCCAGGATTGACGATGTTGCAGGTTCTCTCCTTCGTGATCTTGTAGAGATCTGAATCTTCTCCTTCGTTGATTTGATCCTGTTCTGTCTCTCCAGTTGCTCCAAGAGCTAGAAAGAGCGGCAGCTCTACCTCGAGAAGCAAATCCAGCCTTGGGAACTATGGAAGTAAGTGGAGCAAAGAGGCCAAGAACACCAATCCACCCAGATGTGCGTCCAGCCTTAGAGTCTCTTCATAACCATCAGTCCCACATCTGTTTGCAATTGATAAGAATACCTTCATACAAATAGCCGGAGTTTAGTGGTATCAGAGCTCGCTTCCCATGGCTTCGAGCTTCTCCAGGATCATTCTCCGCTGCTCGTCGGTCAGCTTCGCGTCTTCTTTCCTCCAATATTGCCGGAGGTCCCAGTTCTCGGGATCGGAGTCTACAACCTGGAACAGATACACGATTTAGTTTGGATGATCAGGGCCTGAACATATAGCATACCTCAATGTAGTTGTTGTAGTTGCCTTTTCTGTCTGGGTTCGTTATAGGAGCGTGAGGGTTGTAAGTCCATCGCTCTTTATCAATCACATATTTGTACTCGTATCTTCCAACCTGTTTGAATCGGAAGTTCGCTCAGTGAGCCAAGAAAAGTACGTATAGCGCAGAAGCTTACAGGAAGTTCGTGTTCTAACGTCCAGTGACCATCTCTCGATATGAAATTGAATGGCAGGCGCTGAAAAAAAGAAAAAAAGAAAAAAAAACCAGAAGGCCTCAGACGCAGGTTCAACTTGAGTACTTACAGAATGCCAGCCAATGTCTAGACCAGCAACTTCAACATGCTCGCAGGTACCTCTCCTGTAGAGCAATCCAATGGGACTTCTGGTCATTCCTGTGAGCTGATCGACAGATTTCCTGCCAGGCGATTAAGTTTTAAGAAACAAAGCCGAAAGAGCTTACAGCACCAGATCACAAGTCGCTGCACGTATGTTCTCCATGCTTGGCACACACTTCCGCTTCGACTGCAAAGAAAGGGTAAGCTGGTAGAGACACATTTGCCTACCTGGAGTAGAAGGTACGCTTCATGCAAATCGTAGCCGAGTACCCAAAACATGTAGCCAAGCTGCGCACGGCAAACAAATGAAAACGTTTAAACGCTAAAAAATGAACTTACAGCAACAGCAGGAGCTCTTCCCAATCCAGCTGTGCAATGGACATAGAGTGTTCCTTCGCGGTCTTTGAGCTCCTGGTACAAGCTAGCAATGACACTCGGGAGCCGCATTCTAAGATCGAAGCCATCCATGTCCCTGCAAGAATAAAACCCTGAGAAAACTGCTTACAAAATTTCTCAAGTCAGCTTTACCGAATTGGCAGTCGAAGATGATTAAAATCGCCAACTTCCTTGGCATGATCACGGATTTCAGAGATGTCGACGTTGAAGTACCTGCATAATACATCCGTGAGGACGCTAGAAGACTTAGCAGAGACAAAGAAAACAGAGCCTACGCCATATCAGGATCTTGCTGGAGGTTGCACACCGTGGTAACATTCTCGTCTTTCTTTAGGCGATCAACATCTGCAGGATTCTGGAAAATTGTTGCTATTGGCAACTCGAAAAGAAAAAAGAAAGATAAAGAGAACCTGTAAGCAGGAACCAACGATGAGATTCGGGAGAACACGATTGTAATTCATCCCCAGCTCATGCCTATAAGTCAAGTCTGAAAGAATAACAAAAGTTCGTTCTTCGATCAGAAAAAAGCACCAGAGAAAAAAACAAGGCTTCATACCAGACTGTGTTATCTTCTGGAACACTGCACTATAATCATCAGCTTTCTTCGAGGTTTCCTCCTTTCCTTCTTCCTCGGAAGACTGCTTAGCTTGGAACCAAATGTGAGTTAAAACCACCAATGCATTTCCTCTCTAATCTCTAGAAACCTAGCTTACATGAGAGGCGGACACCACGAATCGCTGGGCAGAAGTCGAAGCGCGCTTACAGAGAGTCCACATTCTTCCATCCCTTCGTGTTAACCTGATTCTGGATCGATCCAAGCGCCTACCAGTTGAGAAATTCTGAAACGCTATGAACTAGATCGAGCATACCTTTGATCGGAGAGCGCCCGGCGCTGGATTTGAAGAAACGCCAGGCGAGGGCACAGCGCCTCCGCCGCCATAGCGTGATTTTCCACAACGAACACGAGATGCCACGTGACAAATAAAATTTCTAGGCCTAGGGCTACATTTGCCTCCAAACATAATGTTTGAATTTGGAGTGATGAGTTTCCTTGTGTAAAGTGTCAATACTTAGCACTGCAAATGCCAACGAGCGGCATTCCAACGAATCAAAAGAATACGCTCACCTTGGTCTCTCAATCGTTATTGGATCGTGTTTTATGTCTCTCTCCTCGATTTGTAAGCGTTGAAGAGCTTTTCTTCTCTACATTTTCTACTTTGGCATCGAACGTTTGTTGTTCCGGTTCTTCCCTACGCAATTCTGTTGATCAAACATTATAATCTCGTTTTCCAGATGAAATCGTCGACTAACCTTTGTCTTAAACTCGGTCCGGTTGCCAGCGACATCACAGCGCAGCGATGCACTCGATTTCAATACGGGCATTTAAAGGCAAGGCAGCTACTTGATACGTGGATCGTGCAGGAGCTGGAGCTGGAAAATCTGCACAAGCCGCACGGTATCTCACTGGAATTAATTTCCCCCTGGAGGAAGCCAAGAGAGCAAAGTAAAGCAAGAGGGAAAAGGAGCTCACTTACATCTGGCATAAATCTCATTCACTGCCTTGAAGTCCGCAAGATCAGCCAGCCTAGGAATTCGAAAGTTGACATCAGAAAGCGTCTAGCTAGCCAGCTGATGAATGACACACAACCAAAGCAGAAACAGCGATGGATAAATGGCATAGCGACAGGGAAATGGGAAGCCAAGCATCGATCGGAAGAGAGAGGACACCCTTACATGATAGTTGTCTTCACCACAGACTTGTAGCTAACACCGGCAGCTTTCAGAATCTCACCCATGTTCTTGAGTACCTGCACAGAAAAGAAAGGAGAAACGATAGAGGAATCAAAACGCCCTGCCCGAAAACTACAACACAATAACACACCCTACCTGTTCGGTCTGTCCTTCGACACTGTCAGAAACAAATTTTCCAGTCTGTAAAGGGAGGCGAGATCGCTGGTTAATGAAGTGAAAGTTCCCGACTCATGACGTGACACGAACGTACTTAGAGAGCGAGCATGGAAAGCAGAAGCACAGGAAAACGAAGAGGGCAATTTACATGCAATGCAATGCGATCCCATGAAACAAAACAATGGAATCCCATGAAACAAAGCACTGCATTGCTTGCTCAATCAATCATTCACCTTTGAACTGACAAGCCACTCTTCCTTTTTTCAATCGATGACATTCATGCTCCATCAGTAGAGGAGTGGAAAAAAACAAAGGAAAAAGCTTTGGAAAAGCTGAGCATACCTCGGGAATGAGCCCCAGTACACCTGACACGAACACGAGATTGTTGGCCTTGATTGCTTGTGAGTAAGGTCCAAGAGCAGCTGGAGCTCGCTCTGTCACAACGGCCTCCTTTTCCTTCTCTACACAAACAAACACACATTTTACAAGCATTTGATTCCTTCTCGGAAAGAAAAAGAAAGAGAGGAGAACGATGCAAAGAATCCAAAAAAAAAAAAGAGGAGATCTCTTCGCATGCTGCCTCTGATCTCTAATCAGGGCCAAGAATTGCTGCCAATGCGGAAGCGGCACGGCTATGGCGAGCACGCACGCGATCTAAGCATATAATCTACGAAATCTGCGCTCCCTGGAAAACGACTTACTTGAAATCTCCGCCATGCCCTGGGCTGCCGCGCTGGTAGATGCGAGCCGGGCCATCCGCCTGACGCGCCGGGAGCTGCTGCCGCCGCACTTGAGATACCCCGTGGCGATCGCCGGGGGAGCTGCCGCGCAGTGAATGCGCATGAGCAACCCTGCCATGGCGATGGCGCCACCAAAAAACTCAAGAACCCTAAAACCCCGGGCGGGGAATATTCCACTCCTTTAAGAAAGAACACTACCGCTAACAAGTAAAACTTTTGCTGGGCGAACAAAACTGCTTTCGCTGTCTTCCCTGTCCTGTGAAAACGAACGAACCAAAACGAATTTCCTTTGTCCCTTTCCTCGCTCTCTTTTATAGAAGCTCTCCCACTTTTCCTCTCATTTGAGGAATCTCCAGAACCAGCTTAGCATGTCCTGGTGGGCTTCCTCGGCCTGGGCCACGGCCCTCGAGTTGGTCACGTCGTACCTCACAGTCCAGCCGTGAGACGCTCCCGGAAAGAATTTGATAAAGCTCTCCACCTGAGAGAAGGCAAAAGGTGTTAGCAAAACCAAAAGCTTCCATCCGGTTACGTTGGCTCCAAGCACCACAGAGCAGCGGCAATGACGCACACAACCTTGAAAACACGACAAACGCAAGCAAGCGAAAAACGCAAAAAGGCGAATTGTCAAAGCGAACCTCAGCACGACTCGCAAGGATTGCACGCGATTCCTCGATCACCGCGGCGGGTGTTCGCTGATCTACTTCCGCAGCGAGGATCGCCACGGGCGCACGAATCTCTGCACGAAAAGCTTGGGTGAATCTCCGAACAGCGAGACTGAAATCAAAAGCTTTGTCGCACCTCGCATATCGTCTACCGTCACAAAGGAGGGATGCAGCAGCACGACTGCCCGCACACTGTCCTCCCTTCCCATCAAGGCTGCTACTTTAGCTGCAAACTCACAGAAGAGATATTAGTGCTCGGTACTGCTACTCCACTGCCAAAATAAATTGATGGAAACATTTCGATTTAACTTACCGCCCCAGCAGAAGCCAGCGATTCCAATCGAAGTGATACCTTTCGACTTTAGCAGTGCCACAATCTTCTTGCACTGTTGTATGGACTTTGGCTGCAGAAGGCAGAGAGAAAGCTCCGATAAGAAACAGATGAGAGTTTCATACGAAAACTTAAAAGTTACCGGTTCATGGTTCTTGATCCACGCAGGGAATGTTGCATAGGGACTTCCACTCTCGGCAGGCTTGAATGGATCATTGTTTAAAAGGTCTGGAACTACAACCAGGTAGCCAGCAGCAGCAACCTTGTCCGCTAGTTTCCTGTATCCCAGAAACAAAAAAGCTCAGTGAATTTTCCAAAGCTCGAGCGCATGAAAGATTGGCGCGTGAGAGCAGTGCAAAACCCACCTCAACAGTGGACTGCTCCATCCTAGCAAGAGAGCAAATATTAGCCTCTCGAAGCACAAGAAATGAAAAGAAAGATAAAAGAAGAACAGGGACTCGATCAAAGCGATTGTGCGAAGGAAAATTTCAAGTGACGAGAGCGATGCTACACGCGAACAGTGAATGGCAATGCAATGGATCACCAGCATTCTTGCTGGCGGTAGAATTGGTGGAGCTGGGGGAGAGAATTGGAGGGGAGGAGAGCAAGAAATTTGCGTACCGAATATATCCGACACCAAGATCACCGCCTCGGTAGCGCCTTGCGCGCCGTTGGTGTAGGCTCGCACGCCCAGGCTCTCCGCGCTGTTGTCGAAGAAATGCGACGCCGGAGGAACGCAGCAATCTCCCGCGGCCATGATATTTCCTCGATTGATTCCCCCGATTCGCAAGAAAGAGATCTATAGCTACGCCGCGACGATCGAGCGATCCGTTAAGGGCGCGCTCGATCTTGAGCGCCTAGGGCCGCGGCTTTGATCCTCCCTCCCACTAGCGCCACAAGATTTTTCTAGGGCGCCTACGGACAGCACACCAGTGATCTTCCTTCACGCTTCGAGAGGGAAGCGAAGAGGAAGATGCGAAGGAGGAGAGAGGAATAAAAAGAGAGAAAAAAAAAGCTTAAAAAGGGGGGTTTTGGCGAAGTACCGAGAGCTTTACTGTGCCGCCTAATTGTGGAAATTCCATCATATTTAAACGCGAATACCATTTCCACAAACGGCAGGATAAATACCACCTGCTGTCCACGTGCCGGCGTACGAGCCCCACGATCCCCGCATCGGACGGCACGGCTGGGGAGCCTAGGGTTTACCGCTCCGCCGTAAATACATCCGTGGTGAAGAAGGTTTCACCTCACCACGTGGCGGCACGCGATTGCCATGCGGTTTGAAAATGCCCCGTACCTGGTTGCGGGGATGGCGTGCCCGGTTCGATTCCTTTGGCGCGCAGTTTCCTCATTCTGTTTATAACATGGTGGGTCTTTTCGTGACGATCTTGGGTTCCTAGATTACACGACGAGACGACGCCAACATTGTAAGTTAAATGTGCCAGCCAGCCGCGGTCCAGCCGAATTCCAGGCGCCAGGCGAGGCCAGCCTTTTTCCATCCATCAATCCTCCCACGATAAAAATGTCTTTCTTTTTCCTTCTCGTTTTCGCCAATCCAATCCAATCCAATCCATTCCAGTCGCCATCGCTTTCTCGTTCGCCTTGGCCGGGCTTTTTCTTCCATCATTCCCGAATCCCCACATGAGTGTTATAAGTCGAGTGATGGTAAATCTATCCACTCCGAAGTTATCCAGGCGGAAAGCGCGGGTAAAAGTTTTAAATTTTTTGAAAAGGGAGCTTTAGGGCTTGCTGGGAAATTAGGGCTCTTCAGGGAATTCTAGGGTTTATGGGCGCTATGACGAAAGAGGAGGGCAGAGGCGAGGCGATCGGCTACCCGGTCGTGCACCATCACTACTACGCGCCGCTAGATGATCGCCCTCCGGTTCTCGAGTCCAGTAAGACGAAGAGCTGCGCTTTCCAGTGCTTCGCAGTCCTGTATCCGATCATTCTCGTGTTGGGCTTCACGGCGTTTATGCTGTGGCCGAGCGATGTGAAGATCGAGGTGCACAAGACGGAGCTTGTGAGCATGTCTTGGGACAGCCTCAAGAGGGCGATCGTTGAGCAGCAGCAGCGGTCCAACGATTTGGGGCTGGATTTGGATTTGAAGTTCCAAGTCCAATTGCTTGTGAGGAATCCCAATTACTTTGGTGTGCGCTACGACAGGATTGTGGTGGAGCTCGGGTACCGGGGCGATAAGCTCGGCCGGGTGGTCTTGGAAGGCGGCGAGATCCCAGCGCTGAAAGTTGTCACCGTGGATGGGGTGATGGATCTCAAAGGCATGAGAGTGTTTGTGAATGCCGGGAGTTTACTCTTGGATATCGCCAGGGGGAGATTGCCTCTAGAGACGGACATGAACTTTTCCGGGAATTTGGAGTTTTTGCTCGTCCACCCTCACTTAGAGGTAAAAAATCTTGCTTTTTTTCCTAAATCATGTTCTTCCTTGTAGGCGAAACTTAGTTGCGAAATCGTTGTCAACCCGGGAACCAACGAGATCATGGAAAAATCCTGTCTACTTGCTGTAAGCTTAAATTGTTTTCTTTTGTTGCCATAATTGGGATTATTTTTCTGGCAGGAATGATCGAACCACGAATACGCGTCGTCGACTTGCTATGTACAAAGCGCGCAGATAATTAAGCTTTTATTTCTCGTTTTCTAAGCGAAGGCGTTCGCCTCTTCGCCTCTTCGCCCGCTTAGCTCATCCGTGTCATCGCATGCGATTAAATAGCTCCCTGGAAGATCGAATTCCAGCTCCTTGTTGTCCAGTTGCTTAGTAATAAATCCCCGGATTCTATATTGCTCAGGCACTGACACGTCTTTGGAGCCCACCTTTTGAAACTCCCAGCCATCGTTGACAACTCTGATCGAGTGGATCTCGACCTGGCACAAGAAGCCAAAGAAAAAACGAGTAATAAAATCAAGTTTTCACGAGAGTTAACATACCTCAGAGTGCTTGCTCGCGTCAATGACAAGAGCACCGTCCAGGTAGAGGTCCTTGAACGAGACATTCACGCCTCGAATGACTAGAGTGGATCTTTGCGTGATCTCGCAAGAACCAGAGATCTTTCTTTTCACGTCCGAGGACGTAAGCCCCCAGCTCGGACTCCACACCACTCGCGGCCACACCTCCACCTCTTGCCCGTTGAAAGTCTCGATGGTGGGGCTCCCAATCTTCACGCCAGCCTGAGGAGTAAACATTGGAGATATAGAAAAACTAGAGGAAAGAAATAATCAAAGACCTTCTTCAAGATGAGGCTGTTGGCTTTGTAGATTGCCATTTCGCCAGTCGTTGCACTGTGTCTAGGATTTCCTTCGGGAACCTGCGAGTCTTACAAATCTAAATCCCTGTAAACGAATTGAAAAAAATGGATACCTTTGCAGCATCGTCCGGGTTGTTCTTCACGGGTGCATATGCCAGCCATGTATCCATAACCTGTACACGAGAAAGTAATGTAGACGAAATACAAAAGAGGTGACAAAAGTTACCGTGAAGCCAACTTTTGCCGAAGGCGACAATGTTCTTGGATAGTCTTGCATCATGCACTCGAGCCTCGTAGAGGATTTAAATTCTTCCCTGCCCGCATCTTTGTATCTGTTGTTTCGGAGATCTGTTTGAGCACGAAACAAAATCCTGCACTAAATGCATGAACGTACTTTGGATTGACAAACTCAACGATGGCGCCGTTTGTCTTGGTGAGCTCCTCCAAATAAGAGTCGAGCTTTAACACGAGCTGTTATGTGCGTGATTAGATCGGCTGGAAATTCCTCGACGACGTAAAAGTTACCTGGTTGATGTTTCCTGGATACGGAGAGTATCCAGTCTCGTC